GAATTCTGTTTATTCATGTCTCTCTCTTTTAGATAAATTTTCTGTTATACAAGGATGTTTTATTTGGTTATGTCGATAAAGTACAATTTTTAAATACTAAATTCGAATAAATTTTTAATACTAAATTCGAATACATTTTTAATAATAAATTCGAATACATTTTTTTATACGATTTCGAATAAATCTATTTATTTTACAAGCAACGTTTTTACACACAATCACAAATTGTTGTCTATAAAGCCAGTTTCTTATTTTTTGTAAAGATTTGAAATACTATTTGGATACAATCTTTACCTCCAGCAATGTTACAGCTTTAAATCAATAACACTATGTCAATCTTACAGTATTGTCTCTTTTCTAAAATACCCAGCTGACTGTATTCTATGTGACCTTTTACACATCACTATGACCTTGCTTTAAGATAGATTTAAAGTAATCATAGTTTATACTACCCCTGGCATAATTTTTTGTTTCTATTTTAGTTTTGCTTTGTTCTGCTGTTTATTCTGTGTTATTATAGGATTTATACCTTTTCTGTATATTTTTGTACTCTTGTTGAACATTTAAAAAAAAAACAAAAAAAAAAACATGTGGGCACAAACAACCCTCCCTAAGCCATGATTTTACACACATCATGAAAACCTTGAAAACCTGAGGTGAGTGAAATTACTTTATTAAAGACTTGTCGTGGGCACAGCACATAACACGGGCATTGTGTCACATCTCTTTCGCAGCACACGCACTAGCAAGAGGAAAAAGCAATGTGTGTTAGCAGCGTATGAGCAGAAGCAGCGAACCGGCACCTCCCGCGAACACCTGATTCATGATTAAAAGTCAGAATTATTATTAGAAGTAATTTAAAAAAAAATTACATAAAGACTTTAGTCTGTGGTATATATTTTTTACAGTAAAATGACACAAATAAAGGTCATTTTAGACCGCATTCAGAAAAAAAGTCCCACAAAATCCTGGTGGGACTGTCTAATATGCTGATAACGGAATTAAAAAGTTCTGCAGCTTCATATTTTTGTGGTATTATGATTAATATTTCTTTTAAAACATTGATCCCAAACCTTTAAACCGTATACATTGTGACATTAGGGCGGCAGGATATTATGTCGCACCTTAGAGCTGCTGGAGTACTCTGCTGCAGGAGCAGTGATCATGCCTTCAATGTCTCCACCGAGCTCAGGAACTTTGTCTTTAGCGGGTGAGCTGGAGTCTCGGTCTCGACTGGCTCCAGTTCCACTGTTATCCAAGCCTTCTCCATCAGACTGACGCACATCTTTGGCAGCCTTACGGTTCTTGAGCGAACGCTCTTTACCTATGGGACCTGGTTTATATTCCTTGTGCTCTGGAGGAGGAATGTCAGGTAACTGTGGAAAAGACATTTAGTTTTAAATAATGTACACTGTTTAAATAGAGCCATGTCTGATGTCTAGGACTACAATTAAGCATATCACTTTGAACTTAAAAAACATGAATTTAAATCTATTAATATCTTTTATCCTTATATTTCAGTTTTTAAAAGTTTTAAAGTCACAATATGTACGTTTTTACCATTATAATAGTGCAGTATCTTTTTGCTGACTTGTGTAAGTACATTATACTAAATGGTTTAAAGAATTTCAGAGCAATTTTAACTAGTGACTTTGACCATGCCATGTGAGGCCATGCTAGTATTGTCCCAATTCCACAATTTACAGATTAAAGATGCTTTAATATGTTGTGTTACACCAGACCGTTTAGAGCAGCAAGATAACATAACCCTAAAATATATTTAGTATGATATAACAGTGCAACTTTATCATGAGCAGAAAAACAGGAAGCAGTTGACTTCAGCTTGTCATTTCACTGCCAGTTTCAGCTGTACTCTGCTTTAAACTATGATGATAAGTGTTGAATGCATTATATCCTGCAGAAATCATGTCGATGGATGAGTTAAAGTAGACCACAACTCCCATGATTTCACACTAAGTCAAGGTGTCATCAAAAATACGCCACTGTTTGTTGTAAAGTCTGCCCTCTATTGCTGAAAATCAAGGCGTCATCAAAATATGCCATTGTTGTGAAAACCTGCCCTCTAGTGTTGAAAATTACATATTGTGCCTTTAAATATTATTTTATAAATCTGTTACTCTTCATGATTCACTTCCCTCTCCATGAAACACTACCTTCTGAGGCTTGACAGGTCCAGCACGGGGCTGTTTTTGCCTCTGCTCTTTGGGTTCGGGTAATTTATTGTCAGAGGTTTTCTCCAGCAGGGCAGGCACTCCATCACTGTCAGTGCTACCTGCTGAAGAGGGGGCACCAAACTGGATGCTGTCCATGCCCAGCTCAACTCCACTCTCTACACCTGCTTTTACACCCTAAAACAGACAGATAAAAATGCAGTCAAGTAAAATTTGTGTGTGTGTTGGTCAGTATATTAAAATATATTATTAAATATTAAATAATCACCACCAAATTTTCTCCCATTGTTTAATTTGATAAAAAACTATTTGAGTTGAGTTTTTTTATTCTGTTGAACACAACAGATGATGTTTTGAAGAAAGCTGGAAACTGGTAGGAATTTGTTTTTCATATTATGCAAGTCAATGGTTTCAGCTTTCTTGTTTGTGTTCAACAGATAAAAGAAACTAGAGGTACAGAAAAAGTAGCTAAATTAACATTGGGTAAACTATCCATTTAACCTACTGGAAAACAGACTTGATTTATTTATTCTTACCTCAGGTGTTACAGTGCCAGTAAACGAAGTGAGTGGTTTGTTCCAGGCACTGACAGATGGAGGCTGTGGAGGACTGATAGGTCCAACTACAACAAAGACAAATGGGGCAACCATCAATACAGATCTAAATCAAAAAATTAATTTTAACATGGAAAAAAACTAAACAAAACAAATCATGAAACATTCAAGCAAATTAGTCAAGTACTAAGTCTTGTAAAACATGGCTTAGGGACACAGGTGTCAAACTCCTGGAGGGCCGTAGCTCTGCACAGTTTAGTTCCAATCCTAACTAAACACACCTGATAAAACTAATTAAGTCCTTAAGGCTTGTTTGAAACCTACAGGTAAATGTCTTGGAGGAGGGTTGGAACTAAACTGTCCAGAGCAGTGGCTATTCAGGAACTGAGTTTGACACCCCTGCTTTAGGACAAGGACTTACGTTTCTTGACATCAGAGAGAACGGTGGAGCCAGCCACTTTGTTCTCCCACAGTTCAGTACCCAGGGTGTTGAGCGTCTGACTCTTAGCAGGGAAGTCTACAGGTGGAGGGGCCAGAGGTGCTACAGCACCCTCAAGAGGTTGCGGTGAGACAGTGCTCTGGTTAGAAGTGGGCAGATTGTGCTGTGGCACAGAAAGAGCTGGCTGTGGTTGAGGCTGCTGTGGGACAGACTGGCTCTGTGGAGCTGGGGCTGCAGGCTGCTGCACTGCTGCCGCTCCTTGCTGTTGTTGCTGCTGCTGCTGCTTTTTGGCAAACCGTGGAGGGAGTTTCGAACCACCACCTCCCCTACCCTTCTCTCCAGAGCCCTTTTTACTCCAGTTCTGCACAGAAGGTGAACAGATGCACGAAAGACAGATTTGTGTAAGAACTACCATGGTGCAATCAATGCAACATATTGGAATAAACATGTTTCCTCCTGGTTCTTACCTGTACAGTCTGTTCTTCCTTCTTTCTCCGCTCCTCATCCTGCAACCGTTTCTGCTGTTTCCGTGAAACAACTTCTGTGAACCCATCATCATTTGTGTTAGACTGTGGGTCCTCGAGTGTCGTGACCTCTGGGTGATCATCAATGATCACTACACCTGAGGAATAAAATAAATCGGATAAAGGAGTTTTGTTTAATTTATAAACATTAATACTTATAGTATAAAGATATCATTAAAACAATACTGGACTGTAATTAATCACATTACACTGGGTTACATGAACACTCACTGGCATAATTGTTGAGATCAAACTGAGACAAGGCATTTTCTTTCTCTTTGGGTTTTTTAACAGCTTGTTTTGCTTCCTCCTTCCGTCGGCTGGTTGCTGGCTCTTTTCCAGGCTTCTGACCTGTACCAGCCTGAGCACCCTCTGCATTCTGAGCAGCAGCACTGCGAATAGCAGAGAAAAAATATTGGCTTATTAGAAAAAGATTGAATTAATTACTGTTTTAATAAAGCAAGAAGTCATAAGACCAAGTGAAGCAAATTCTTCAATAGCTACTGTTGTTAATAATGCTCCATAACATGCTTCATTAACTACAGAATAACAGCAAGTCAATTAATAAAGTAATTATAAAAGCATTTTGGCAAGGCAATTAGAAAAGACAATAGTCAGTAACTGGAACTTTGAAAACCTTACGAAAAGTTTAATCAAAATTACAATTATCTTAAACCTCTTAAATCATAACAGTTCAATTCAAACTAAAGACTCTATGCTTTCCAGAACAACAAGAACTCACCCTCTCCGTCCAGATTTGGCACCAGATCCTCCCCTTCTCTCACTCTTGCCTCCAGGGTACCCCCGACCTGTTTTAGGCCCACTGTTGCCCCGGCGGTTCTGTCGATCTACAGGGCGCTGGCTGGAGAAGCTCCTTTTGGCTGCTGAAGCCAACTCTCTTTTCGGGATTGCCACACTTTCTATGAGTGATTTGCTCTGTCCACCAGTGATCTGTGCAGGTGCAGAGGAGGAGGATGTGGTTGCAGTCACAGCTGCTTCAAGTAGCTTCTTGTCTTCTCGCTCTCTCCGTTCATTAAAGTCGCTACTTTCAGAAGCAGTTTCCCACTCCTCATTGGCTTGATCAGAGGAGTTCTGATTGGACAAGTCAGGCGATTTGCTGCCAGCAGCAACTACAGTAGTGGTTCCTACTTCAGGAACAACAGACTCTGTGACGGGAAGCTCAGGGGGACTCACATCAGGAGTGTGAGAAGATGCTGTATTAGTATCAATCACTCCCTCAGACAAAGTGACCTGAGACCCTGGAGCTTTAGACAGTGTTGGGGAAATGGATGTAGCTACTGGCATGCCTGGTGTTGATTCACCAGCATACACTGCTGCCTCACGCTCTTTAAGTCTCCTAAACCGTGGGGGCTTGTCCTGCCTGGGAGGACGGGCTGCTCTTGGTCTTCTAGGTCTCTCTCGAATGCTTTGTCCACCGTCTCCAATTTTTTTGTTGTCATATTTGGTGTGTCGACGTTCAGATGGCGTGCTATCAGTCCGTGAGGTCTCTGCTTCCTCTGGCCGAAAGGTCTCCATGGGCTTCGAGGGCCACTGAGAGCCCTCTTTGACAGGAGCGCGCCGGAAAGGTGCAGATCTGTGTCCACCTCTTTCTCTGCCACCTCCACGTCTGCTGTGCAAGGGTCCTTTGCCCCGACGTGCGACCTCACCCTTTAACAGAAAACCAGGTTTAGGCCGCCCATCCTCATCACGAGACCCTGGTTTTTCTGAAACATGTCCAGGCGCATACCCTGAAGCAGGCTTAGAGGACCGAGATTCTGGCAGCTCACGGCGGAGCGGTCTGTTTGGTTTGGTGCTAGGCTCACGGTCTGATGCTCCAGTGTCACTAGCAGATTCTCTGCCTTCACTTTCAGAGTCTGTGTCCGAGCCCCGTCTGCGTCTGCGCTTGGGCAGGACTTCAAAGTCTGAGCTCTCGCTACGTGTTTCACTCTCTTCTCTGCAGTGGAAACCAACTGCCCCAGTGGCACTTAATGGCAAGTCTGAGCGTGATCGTGGCTCTCTGTAAGGGTAGTCCCCTCGACTCCGCCCACGACTACCTCGACCTCTCCCACCATAGCTGCCTCTGTAGCTGCGGCCACGGGAATAGTACTCCCCCCGACCACGGCCTTTAAAATCAGAAGGCCACTCTTTCTCTCTGTCCGCATCCCTGTCTCTTTCTCTGTCCCGATCTCGGTCTCTCTCTCGGTCCCGATCTCTGTCTCTCTCTCTGTCCCGATCTCTGTCTCTCTCTCTGTCCCGATCTCTGTCTCTGTCCCGATCTCTCTCTCGCTCCCTCTCGTCTCTTCTGTACGATCGGGGAGGGAAGCTGGATTCTTTGCGAGAGGGTAGTTTGGGCTCAGGGCATTTGTCATTAGATGGAGGCCTATCTGGCTTTTCCTCAGGAACAGTTGCAGTTGCTGGACCTGCTGTTGTATGCAGATCTCTAGATTTTGCTCCACCAGTTTCAGGTTCCACCACCATTTTCTTCCCATCACTGGAAGGCTTTGTTCCATCACATGCCACTATAGCAGCTGACGAAGCACCTTTGGGTGCAAATCCTTCTTTTTTGGTTCGATCTCCTCGTTCATGTTGCTCTTCTTTCTCTCTTCTCTGCTCCCTCTCTTCCTTCATGTCTCGCAGTACAGGTTTTTTAATAGGTCCAGATCTCCTGACCGGTCGCTCTCCTCCAGCACCCTCTCTTCTTCCAGATCCAGAACCACGGGATCCCCAGCGCATCTCTGACTTCTGTTTGTTGGGTGGCGGTAAGATAAGCTTGTCACCTTTATGCACATTATCGTTAGTCACAGGAGGAGTGGAACGGCTGCTGATGGCAGGGCCTTGACCAAAGGCCTCCTTTCTGGACTTTTCTTCTGGTCTTTCCACAGTTTCAGTGAAGTCCACGGTCTTCTGTGCTATAGTAAGTCCCTCAAATCTAGGTTCTTCCAGTTTTAGAGAGTGACTGGAGCCTTGAGAGATACTCCGTTTCAATACAGCCTGTCCAATGGCCTCAACCTCATCAGTAGCGGTGAGGTTAGCCTCCTCAGTTTCAAAGGAAGGGATGACTGGTGCTCGGTCAGTCTGTAGGAGACTTGGAACCTCATCTGAAACATGACTAAAAGCAGACAATGTTTCAGATGAATCCCTGAAAAAGTCACTTTTGTTCCGAGGCTCCAGTGGGCTATGGTCCTGATGATAGACACCAGATAGACCTCTATCCAGGTCCAGACCAGCATCCAATCTATAATTAGAAGAAGGGGGAAAATGAGCTCTTGATCAATTAACATTCAACGAGGGAGAAATACCTATAACTTGTTTATGGTTACCTTGGGTCTTTGCCATCTTCTCGCCCTTTAGCAGTTGCAGTGGAGGGCAGTGGCTCCGTTGAGGGATATGGGTCAGAACCCCAGACCATTCGAGACTCGCTGGGAACTCCATGTTCTCTGATTGGTCGTGTCAGATGATCAAAAGTGTCTGATCCAGAGCTGCTGTTGTCCGTGGGCTCTCGTCGTACCAGTTGCTTAGGAGGCATTCTCCCTGATAATGATAAAAAAATTATTAGGGTCCACAAAGATTTAGAATACTTGCATTTACAAATAAGTTTAAGGTATTAAAAGTTTATATGCAACATACTGGAATAAACATAAGTTAAAAGTTATACCCGGGTGCATAGGAGGAATGTCTATAGGTGGTCTTCCAGACATCATACGAGGGTCCATGTAAGATTGCATCATTAACCACCTTGGGTCAAAGCCCATTGAGGCAAGATGTTGGTGGTGGGGGCCAAGAGGTTGGTACAGAGATCTATGCTGAGGAGGAACTGAACCCCCTGAAGGAGAGACCGGACCTCCTCCACCTTGCTGCTGCTGCTGTTGTTGCTGCTGCTGATGTTGCTGCTGCCACTGTTGTTGTTTAAGTTGTTCCTGAGGAATTTAGGAGAAGAAAGATGAAAGCTCTAATAGCTAAACGCAGGATCTACAAAGAATCTCTAACAATACCAGTGAGGCAATATGAATAAACAGATTTAAAAATATATAATGAGTGAATGCATTTTGATCTTTTAGAAACAAAGTCAACACAATGTGAAGTACCTGTTGTCTAAGGAACCTAGGTGGCAGAGATTTCTGGAACTGTTTTGAGTATCCAGAGGTTACAGAAGGACGAATGGAAGTCCCAGCATCTCCTTCATTCTCCAGTTGAGATGGAAGTGGAACATCTTCGCTAACAGAATGATCTAGTCTGGACAATGACAACTGAGGCTCCTCAACTGAAAGAGGAAAACATTTTTTTGACCAATCTAAATCTAAAAAACTAACAAAATCTATTTAATGAATCATTTATTACATGCATCAAACCAGATAAATTCCTTAATTCATTGGTCTTTGGGCAAAGAAGATTAAAAGAAAAAGATACAGAAAAATAAATAAACAAACAAGGTAACAAGTTAAAATAAAGCACAAACAAAATATTTGACAACCACTGACTTGTTTATCATGCTTGCACCGTTTTTAACATTATACCTCCACAAGTCATAAAAAGTGTCATAAGTGACAAAAGCACACCCCAAATCACTTTAGTTTAAGTGCAATATAAACATTTACCTCTGGGCTCCTCAGCACAGAAGTAGTCTCTCATTGGCGGTCTCTCCACCTGTCCATGCACCTCCTCAGCTACAGCAGTATCAGCCTTGATTTGGGGTTCTGGGATAGTCCTAAGAACAGGAGGGCTAGGTTGCCGGGTAATGAATTGTGGCACCTCTTCCACAGTGGGCTCTGTCCTTTCATGAGTTGGCATGGGAGGGCAGGGTAGCTGTGCAGGCAGAGGTGGTGGCTGAGGTTGAGGGGGCGGAGTTTCAGCAGGTAGTTTAGGCACAATTTCAGTCACTTCCTGGTGGTCGCTGTGAGCTTGCGTAGCTGGTTTAGTAGCCTCTGTGGTCGAAGGTCGTCTTTTCTCCTCTAGTTGTTTAAGCTTCTCTTTGCATGCAGCAAGCCTTTGCTCCTCCATCCGCCGCTCCTCCTCCTCACGGCGTCTACGAGCACGTTCCACTGCTTCAGAGAGCTCTGACTGCTTCTTTCGTTTCTGTCGCCATGCTTCCGTTTCCTCCTCACCAACAGGAGGTGCCGTCGTTTGCAGCTTTGTAACACGGGGGCCACCACTTCCCATAGAACGCCCAACAGCTTGCCCCTGTGCAATTTATTATTTTGTCAACTACATAGCTCAGCAAATCAAATACAGCAATAGTAATTTTGGCAACTTCATGCATACCTGCTGGTCTTGTGGCATTATATTCTTGCTATAATGGACAATATTGCCAGGAGAGGGAGCCCTGGGGTCTCCACTTTCACCCCATGAGCTCTTGCCATCACTCCTCTCCTCTGTACCTTCCTTCCATCCCTCCTGGACCTCAGCATTCCTTGACCGCATGCGATCAACTTTAGCCATCCACTCCCTTTGGTTTAGCAAGAAAGAGTTTTACTGTTTTACTCACTGTGTGTGCACAAGAACTGACAACAATCTGACAGACAATCTCAAGTGCTCCACAGAGACCCGCGGAGACGCACCTTTTGGGACCGCTTTTAGAAGGTTTCTAAAATCATCACTAATTATGTGTTTTTATCACTGACAACGTGTGCAGCCGCAAGAGTGAGAAAACATTAAATAATCAGTTTAACTAAAACTTTATTCTTGTTATTATAATACTTTTTAGAGATATTGTCTGTTTTTATTTCGCTGTCGTTTATTTCTCACTTGCTGTATTATTATTATTTTTTGATGTAGTTGATATATTACATATTTTTACATATCTAACATGCTTTGGCAATACTGTACAAATTGTCAGCAGCAGATTTTACATGGGTGCAAATGGCTCCTGAATAGAATAAAAGTTAAAGAATAATAGCAACAGTAGATTTGTTTTTTTTATGTCCAGTATTAAAAATAAAAATCTTCCAACCCAGTGAAAAGAAACAGTGTATAACAGTGTCATAATAAATAAAAATGTTGCTAAAAAGCACTTGTTTTTTACGCATGTAGTTAACCATGTGCCATGGATAAAAGGTGTGTTTCAATCTAGCTACCACCACAAGCATATTTCAAACCTGTAGGAAGCACTGACTAAATAAGATTAAAAAAAAAAAAATTGCATAAAATTACAAACATAACGAACATGCATGCTTACCAGTTATCGGCTTTCTCTTTAGCTGAATGGTTCTCTTCATCATCACTAAAATTCAGCTTCTCGGTATAGTCAACTTCCATTTGGGCACCTAAAAATAGTGTATTTCTGGTTTAAACATTTAATGCGCATTCCCGTTGAAAATGTTGCATTACCTGAACTAATTTTTCCCTTTATAATTTTTTAATTATTATTATTTAGATCAAAAAAATAAATAAATAGCCTGTTTGCATTCAAGACCTTTCAAATTGGACTCCTCATAACAGGCAGGTATTGAAACCAGTGCACAAGTGTGTACTTAATATCATATATTAATAAAATAAAATTTAAATATTGATACACTAAAATATATACACTAATAATTAAAGTAACTACTACAAATACAAATTGGATATGCCACATTCAAGGACATTGTAAATAATCTGACTTCACAAATTGAATCCTTAAAGTATTACTCTCATGGTAAGTTATAATGCTAAAAGTCACAGTTTTTCATGTTTAATTGAGACTGAGCCTAATCTTCATCTTCTAAATCACAAAATACATGTACATAAATTATGGTTTCTACTGCTGTACTGTATTCGCACCACATTAAGCACACGCGCAGCTGTCATTCTCACCTGCCCAACCCTCATCAGCTTCTGTGTCCAGATTGTCTAGCTCTTTTAATTCAGTGGCACTAACAATTGATGGCCTGTCTGGATCCTGCAGCCATGACTGAGAGGGAGGCAAAGAAGGTCTTCCAGTGCGTGGACCCCTAAGCAAAACAGAGAAAATCAGAAAGTGAAACTAAGTTGCCAAACTCCTGAACGGATCATGGATAACCTGCCTTGATCATGAGGAAATACTAAACTTGAATGTTCACTAAAACTTGCCATAGACGAATTAGATAAGTGATAAAGAACAAACGTCAACTGTCTAATATGAATACAAAATAAAAATATTAATTTATCCAAATAAAAGGAAGTACAAAGTAATTCTGCAACTGTTCTTCCAATTAAGTTTAGTTTCAGACCTTATGGAATCACTTACTTGGACATCTCCTGTTGTGCAGGGTACCTAAAGCTGCCTTGCGCAGGTGGAAAGGGCCCTCGAGGGTAAGCATTAAACATCTAGTGAGAAAAAAAAAACCAAAAACAGCACACATTCAAGTGAAGTGTCACCGAAAAAAAAAACACATTTTATAACAAGCACCAAATGAAAATAATAATTACATTTGAAAAAGTAGAAATACTATAAACAATAACTAAACTCTTGTCACTCACATATGGCGGCATCATGCTCCTGAATTGGGCAGCATGGAATTGAGATGACATCCCTCCTGGTGGTTGCTGACCACCATTAAGTTTATGCTGAGGGGCAGCAGTTGGGAGCCTGTCCCTGGCATCCCTCTTTTCTCTGCCCTCACCAGAAGAGGTTTTCCCTGCCTCATCAGAGTCGCCTGATGGAGATGGTGTGCCTCGACCAATGCCCGACTCCTCAGAGGGCTTACTGTCAGTCTCCGAGGGGCTGGGAGTAACGTTTAGGTTCCTGCCTCCACCTTCCCGCCAGCTACCCACATCTGGTTGGTAATGGACACAAAAGAGAGAGTAACTTTTATATATTTATAACTTATAACTTATTATATATATATATAGTACTTAGATGATGAAGCTTATATTTAGCATTAAAAGGGTCACTTGGCATTTCTAAAAATATTTATTTTTTATATCTAGTGTTCAAATTTCCACATCCAATTCAGTGACTAATTAGCAAACGACTACAGAATAGTCTCAAAGTAGTATTTATTTTTATATAGTATTTATTTTATTAAATTCCATGAGAAGTGATGCAAACAGCTGTAATTATTGCAAAACAACAATGCTGTGACGTGCATTTTCATTTTTTGAGAGGTGTGCATCAAACAGTGATTGGTGGTTTTGAAATCGATTTTGCGTGTAAAAAATGGCATAGCCGGGTTGACAAAATTTGGGCGGTTTTGAAACGTACATTTTTTATGCAACTTTTTTTAACAAACCATAACTGTGTGCACCTACTCCATTCAGGTAATAGTGACCAGTGCATAGAACAAACTGGGTGGGCACAATCGCAAGAGGAGATGAAGGAAAGTCTTACTCCCGAACCACGCTGACTCACCTCCGCGTGCACATGCAAAACGCAACCCCTGCAGTTAAACTCAGTGGTTTATCATGACACTTATATCGATAATTTTTTTTACAATTGACAGCAAGAACAAACGTAGAAGCATTGTCTGATTGACAAGCAGCACCTAATTATGTTCAAACGAATTTAAAACTCAAAATGAAACAAGTTTATACCCCATCCGGAAAGTAAGACATACTACACATTTACACAACATTAAGTGCAGTTTGTGGGTGAGAGGGGGCAGTGTTTCGATGTGATCCGGTTATGTTGTAGTTCTGTGACTGCTGGTGTTTGCTGCTGTATGGTTAAAAGTTATGACAGTTAAAGTAACTAGGTAAATTTCAATTTACTAAAAGTAACTTGAAATATTAATATATTATATAATATCAAATAAAAAAATGATTAAAAATAAATTAAATTTAATATTATTCTAACATTTTGGGCATTTTTGTGTGTTTGGGCGGGTTTTGGACAGCTTTTGGACTGGAAAAAGTCAGCTATATCTAACAACACTGGCATCAGGGTATGACAAACAGTGTTCGACTAAGCAAGGCTACACCAAAACAACCATTTGCATTATTGTGAGCATGTGATAATGAAAATATTATTCAGTAGCGTCAGTGAACTATGTCGTAGTATAGTAAAAGCCGCTCCATGTAAAAGTGTGAATATGATAAAGATTTATTACTGATCACAGAAGCGGCTTTACTGACAAAATGTGCATAAAGACAGAATGTAACAGAAGGTTTTATTTTACATAGTAGTCAACATGGTGTCAGCAGCAACAATATTACAGCGAGAACAAAAGTTATGCTTCATGGCAGTATTATGGCAATGTTCCCACTTACAGATTTTTGAGGCATGTTCAAATGAGGTATTTTGGAAGTCTCTTTGAGTTTGCAAATTGTAGGTTGAGACTTTATGTATCTTATATTTGCAGAACGGCTAGTAACACTCCAAAGACACAGGAAAACATTAAATCAACAGCATAAGAGCCCTTTAATATTTTTACACCAGGCTTGTAAACAATCAAAAGGATGATGGTCTTACTCTGAGGCCTGAGGCTGGGCCCTGGTCCATAGGGTTCATCTTCCTGATCGGCTGGTTTCTCCACTTCACCTGCTGCCTGCAGACTCGGAAACTCCTGATGAAACTGACTGCTCATTCGAGGAGCTCCTGCACACAGAGTAGCGTTTAAGCATTTTGCTTTAGAAGCTCAAAACTCATGATTATTCTGCTGTCCTAATTCATTTTAATATGCATTCATAAAGCAGCAATTTCAGAGCAATCTAATAGCAACTAAGTAGTTTACCATCCTGCTGCCCAGACTGTTTGCTGTTGGCCCACGAGCGGCTTCCTCCCAGAGGGGCATCAGAGGTCTGGGGCACAGTTGGCTTAGGCTGTGGGGGAGGGGTTTCTTGCTGCCTAAAATCAGAAAATGATCAGTGAGCAGAAGCATCTAAAGAGGGCAAAACGTAGAAACCAATGTGGCAGACTATATTCAGCGTAATGCCAAGTTCATACTGCACCATTTTAGTCCTGATTCTTCACTTTGCCGACAGGTTTTGTGAAATCACAAACAAATGGCCAAAAATCTGAGGCCAACAGATGCTCGCTTATGAAAGTTACAATCATGAAGTATAAATGATCAAACACATGATATGAGAGAATCACTGACGCCCGTAAAATATTTGGCAAGCTAAATATATTGACCGGACAATAATTAAAAATCATGCTGTGTGAAATAAGTTCTGACTAAAAAACACATCAGCGATGACCTACAATCAATGACAGAGCAAGATACAGGACAACGAAAACAAGCAGATCAGTACAGATAAAGACTGACGATTGGCTATTTCGAGCAGTAGGCGGGACTTTTGCTGTGGCAGTCGTACTGAGCATTGCACTTTTCCTCATACAAAGTAATGCGTTGAAAAATTGTAAATGCATATCTATAGTCTTTGGCCAGACAGAGTTGTCTCTGCATGTTTCTGGTGCAGTTAATCTCTTGTGAAGTATGAACCTAGCAGCAAATGAGTGCTACCCCAGAGAGACGTGCAATGTGAAAACAACTTTAAAAAAACAAACAAAACAAAAACAAAGAGTACATCTAGCACAGTGTGAACTCTGCAGGAAAGAGTTTACCTATAATTCAGGGTTTTAAGGTTGAAAGATTACCGTTCGTCTCCTGGTTGATCTTGTCTGGAAGCCCATCCACTGCCATCCTTGGGTACTATGCTAACATTGGGATCATTGCCTTTGTTCTCAGCTTTTAGGCTGGGCAGGTTAGCTGGAGGGGGCATGCGTCGACTGACCGCAACTTTACCCAAACTTTGGAGCCCATGTCTGGCGGCAACTAAAAGAAGGCGAAAAAATGAATTACCAACACTGCTAACACATTAATCTTTCCCTTAGGCTAGGAAATGAAAGTGAAAGTTCTGATTTAAAATCAATAAAGTTTTAACAACAATGTGAAAAGCAGCAACACACATTCTTGAGCACTCTCTTTTCTAAAGCTTGAATGAATGAACAGCAGTGACTGAGTGGACAAAGACTGCTTATTTGATCCAGCAATGCACAGGAGGCTAATTGGGAAGCTAACCCAGTATGCTTGATCAAGAGTACAATCTGCTAAGTATTTCTGAAGGTCAGAAGATCCATCGTCACGAGTAAGTTTATGTGAAAATCATAGATATAGAACAACTTTATTAAAAAGCGATTTCTGATGCAGTGTTAAACTGGACACTAGGGTTGGGCTAATAGACAATAACGATGCTGAGCCGGCATCACGATCATCCGCCCCACCCGCAAACTCGCTCATCAAAAATACACACTTAGGCTCTGTTTACACTGCAGGCAATCGTGGCACGAATCTGATTTATTCCCCCTCACGTGAACAGCCCAAACCGTATGGAATCTGATCTTTTAAGGTCAGATCTATGCCACTTTCATGTGTGGTCTTAAATCAGACACAGATCTGATGTTTTGCAATGCGACCGCAGTGTGAACGGTTATGTCGGATTTCATGTGACTTTTACGCAATCTTTGAGTGACATGCGTCATCATTCTGTGCTGCAAACATCCTCTACCCCTTAGCAGCACAGTAGAATGGCACAGAAGGCAATTACAGTACCACAGAAAGTTGGTTGTTCATGTTGAAAAAGAATCTGAAGGCATAACTGGTGCTTATGAACTAATCTGGTTAACGATTGAAGCACGGGTAGATCGCGAAGCCGAAAAGCGTCGTGGGTGTTGCGGATGGGGGAATCTGTGTGCAAATGAGGAAGAACTTTCTCTCCGAGAGAAAAAAAGGGCAGTTGCTCGAGCACCCAAACCTCCCTTCTGCACGTGTCTGCTGTTTATAACCAAGTGAAATTAAATAACTCCACAAACGGAGATAAACCAACTCCGCCTTCACAGCTCAGTCTGCGGCTGCTTATTAACCCTTGATGAGTTCACTACACTGCCGGTGGTCAGAGCGCCACGCACCGCTGTTGTCATAAATCACAAAAGGTTAGTGTTTTTTTTTTAATCACAGGAGACTTATTTTAGATCTCAAATGCTGAAATAAACATTAGTAGTAGCAAAACAATCATTTACAGTTCATGAAATAGACCCCGGTTGTCTGTGAAAAGGGTAATAATCATATAAGCATGATCTGACAACATGCTTACTCATGCAGCACTCACGTGTGTGGATAATTAGACATTTTGTGCTCTCCGTAATGCACTTTTGCGCATGCGGGTCAGTTCAGGACCATGATCTGTTCACACTGCAAATCTGATATTGGCCACATTTAAAGGAGCAGTGTGAACAGCCATGCAAAAAATCAGATCTGAGAAAACAACAGATTTGAGCACTAAGCCTTGCAGTGTGAACGTAGCCTAATACGTCTAAGTTTTAATGTGGCGTTTTAAAACAAAAATGATGCACGTCCACAATGGTGTCACCTAGCATTTTTGCCATTCGTCCACACTGGACCACTGAAAGCACACATCACGTGACCACACATACACAGACAGACAGAATCTTGCGCTCATCTGATCTTCAGGCAGTCAGCAGGTGCTTTGAGCACAAACCCCCAAAGTGCAGATCACGTTGCAGTTTAAGTATGTACCACTGAATCTCATCTCACTGTAATTATTACTTGTGATTTTTTAATTCATTTTGTCTCTATCTAATGACTCTTCGGTCTTTTGAATCTATCAGGTAACGTGTCACAGCGTCAGTATACTGCTTCAATCTTTCGCTTTCATGCTTGTACTTTTATAACATTATAACACAGATCACTCTGCCTATTCATGCCAGAGTCCTGCCGAAAAAGTGATTAACGGGTGGTAATTCGTGAGCATCTTTTCTTTATTAACTTATGATATGGCTATGGGTAAAACATAGACCGTGTAGGTGAGGTAGTTGAAACAGTAGGCTACAAATGATTAATTCGTTATGAATTATTCATAAATAATTAATTCAATGCAGTCTATGATGACGATGCCATTGTCCATCGTGATGTTTCACATTAGTCATCGTACGATGCCAAATTAGTCTGCTTCAGCCAAGCCTACTGGACACGCTTCACAAATTCAACCCAATGGCTGCTGTTTTTTTAATGATCAGAAGCTCATGAGCCATTTTTATCAGCTCGCAAATTGCTTTCACACAATACGACCATCAGCGATTTCCACATAAATTGTCTCAGTGGAGAAGAAAAATTTTCGTACAAGCTCCAATGACAGGCAAAAATGGCACCCTGTACGCCAGCCTTTACTCTAGCTACAAAAGTGACAAGATTACTTTTCAACCCCAAATAAAAAGTCTGTATTTCATGACGTTAAATAATACATCTACTTTCTTTGCATTCTCTTCACTTTCTTGTAATAATGTGGTTCAGAGCTTTCAATTTTGAGATGATTTAAATCAGCTTGTGTGTGAGAATGATTAGCTGGACTCACCTGCAGTTTTCTGCGTCTCCAAAGACTTTCCCTTGTACGTGTTGAAGAGGCTAAGGGTTGCATACTTGGTCTTGCCATCCTTTGCCTTGGTGCTCTGCCCTGACTTCTCGGACATTTCGCTGGAAACTCATTGAGTCTGGTCCTGCGGCCTCACCCCTCAGAACCAGCCCCTTATTGAAGAGAGCAAGAAATAAAAAAAACTAAGTGAGCAGATGGTAAAACCAGATACTCTGCCTAATATCTACCAACAATAAAGTGCTTTAAGCTATATTTTCTATCAGGTTTAAAAGCAGGAGTAAGAAGCTAATGTTGAGCAACTACAGAGAGAAACAGACAAATGTACATGTGAGCAAGAAACACTCAAATGTTTGCTCATGATAGCCTTTATTCTCGTTTCACAAACATTACTGAACTGAATCCAGTGCTTCTGACTAGGTTTATTTGAGGCTATATGGCCTTGCAGAGAAAATGAAAGCATCAAGTGCACAATCAGCCTTTAATCAAACTCTCCTACTTCTGCCCAAGACAGATTTTAAAGTGCAAAATATATTATGTATATGATTGTTATACTATACCTATTTGAAAACATCAACCAACAAGTTTGTCACGCTAGTATATCCATCCCCAGCATTGCTTCCCCTCCCTATAAGGAAACTAAGTGGCTGGCTAGGGAGTCCCCTCAACCCACTAGTGGTGTGAGCCGCTTCCTTGCTAAAATCATATTTATTTAGTACTTGAATATTGATAAAATTTCACTGAAAAGAAAAAAATCCTAACTTTATTAAAGTTGAAATTGCTTTTGTGTGAAAGTCATGTGATCAACAAGAAGCTTCATTGCCTGCCTTTATATAACGGATTTATTTTGGAAATTGGATCACAATACAAAACCAAACGAACATTAATCTTCAGACGTACAAAAACTGAGGGGGAAAATGACAACGAGAAGAGACAACCACAAAATTATTTTAAAGGGTAATGACAACCCCCATCTTTGGTTCAGGTCTACCTCAGAATTTTTTTAAAAGATCCATAATAATGGGCGTGGAGCTCCGCGAAAAAAGGGCAGGCATGGGCAGGGCCAGCAGGGGAGAAGGAGGGGAGCGAACAACTGTTATCAGTTAGCTCACAAAATGAGACACAAACCTTAAGGAGACGCATGATTTTATAGTTTACAAAGTTAAAATGCTAAGAAATAAACAGTGATTTAATGCCCTGCTACATTTGCAATTCATAATTTCATATACAGATAACCACAATTTATATAATTATAAAGATAATCGTGTTCATATGAACACTATAAATGAGGACTTTTCCCTCAATCCCCTGGTCTGAATGCAGACTCAGTGCAGCAGGTCTCTTGCCCCATCTATTTTAACCATTAGCCCTGTTGGTAATCTAGAGGATTTAGGCAAACACAGCAGCACGGCGATATTGTCTAAATGTGAATGAACTCCTGATAAAAGACAACATCTGCCATTCTCCAATTCTTGTACTGCTCTCCCAACAAAAATGCTTGCTGCACACAAACAGCATTGCTGTATTGACCCTGACACCATTGAGGGGAAAACATGCAACAAACCCTGTGAATCATGAAAACAAACACATAAAAAAATACAACAAAAAAAGTACGAAAGTTTAATGCCTCACGACTAAATAAAGGGCGCCAATGTGATCGTGCACACCAATGCACAAAACGGCGACATAAAAGCGTCATTCAAAAAAAAAAAAAAAAATTTACCTCATGCTTGCTTACATGTAAGAAGCTGCTTAAGTTACAGTAAATAGCACTTGGAGGTGCTTAAGCGCAAAACTGTCAATGCGAGCGCACATTGAAGAAGTTGCCCAGAGGTGATACAAGCGTGGAGCTGCTTATTGCTCTGGTGAACAATAATCATTTCCTCATCACCGGAGCCGGAGCTGCTGCTTGAACCATCCATAACAACAAGCGTTTCTTCTTCTGTGTTACAAGCAGGTGTCAGAACCTAAAAGTTGTGTGGCGCCATGTAACGTCAAGGAGTGATTTTGCATACTCTTCTGCTCGATGCCAGTGAAAATCGCTTAGGTTTTATTACAGAAAAACGTCTTGAAAAACGCTGACAATAAACGCAAACGAAAAATTTTATATACAAAATGTATATATCTGACTGTATTTTAGGACAAAATTGCATTACAAAATATTATATACTGTAAATTTAAATGTATCTATACATTTTAATACAAGAATTGCTGTGCTGTAAAAAAAACAATAAACCTATGTATGAAAAGCATTGTCAATGCACCATGATAACAAACTGAACCGAATCGATAGGCATGATAATCGTAAATGAACCATGAGACCAGTGAAGATTCACACCTCTACTTTTAAGTGCTAATAATGATGTTAAAGACATAATCTAGTAGCACATTTTACGGGAAACATCCACACACACTCATACACTATGGACAATTTAGGCTACCCAATTCAGCTGTACCGCATGTCTTTGGACTATGGGGGAAACCGGAGCACCTGGAGGAAACCCACGTGAACGCAGGGAGGACATGCAAACTCCACACTGGAACGCCAACTGAGCCGAGGCTCGAACCAGCAACCTTCTTGCTGTGAGGCGAACGTGCTACCCACTGCGCCTTACAGAGCTGTTTTTAGTCTAAAATGCATTTTACTGAACTGTAATACTGTAGCATCTTTCACTGGCATATTTTGCAGACTGGTAATATTTTTTTTCCAGAAACATGTTTATTAAAGTTATGTTTTAATTTAATTAATAATAGTTTAATATAAGCTCTGGACCCCGCATCTCAAACGTAAGGAACAGGGAAGGAGACTGAACAAATAATAAAGTTTGTGTTTGGGTATTAACATTAACACAGTATTTGCTGCTTCCCTTTTTTCTATGTTTTTTCAATAAAAGTTTTTTCAAATTTACTTTATATTATTTGCTTATTGTTTTTCTTATGTATGAATCCATCTTTGCATTAATGTTAATAGTTTTGTTGTTTTTTTGAGTTTTTAATGAGTTCAGAATGTATATTCTTTTATTAAGTAGTTCATTTTCCCTTTTGGCTAATTACTGTTCAGTGTTGTTTCATTGCAGGGTTTTTACTTTTGGAATTTATTAAAACAAAAACTCAACCTGGAATCTTTTATAGAATCTTGAATTTGTTTGCCAAAACAATAAAATAGGTTTTAAACACTATAGAAGGATGCCAAGTAGGAATTAAAATGCCCTAGTCATTCAGGGAGATATTAAGTAGTAATATTAAGGCTTTATTTTCTGTTTCATCGATTGTATTAAAGAAATAAGGAATCAAATTATTGTGGGCTAGTTTGCAATGGTGATAATGCACTATAGAGCAAGGTAGGACCCCAAAATAGTTCAGCTTAGGGCCTCCAAATGTACAAGGCCAGCCCAGATCACCAGCAGTGAATTTGAAGCTGATGGAAGGTCTCTACATCTTTGAATGTCAATGGTTGGAATTGATGATGCATATCACGTTGCCATGCCGATGTCAGTGAAGATGGTGAAATGACAGTGAGGGAAGGGGGTGCTGCAATCTACCGTGAGCCACATGGAGCTCCATTCATAATTGATGTGGTGTGAGGGCTTATGCCAAGACAACAAAGTATAAGCAACAGGGTCACCTCAACATGTCCATACACAATTAGACACACTGCAGTACATGAGCCAAAATACCAGTCTGCTAATACATGTAAAAATGACCACACTGTATATCCACAACTATATTTACATTACTATATCTACGTTTAAAACTATGGCTACGTTCACATGCCACATTTTTTCTTTAGTAGAATTTTATAAACAAAATGTTTTGCATGAATATGTGTATTGTTTTCAAGGTAGATCAGTGTACATGCCACAGCTATATATGGCATTGTTAACACAGACAGACAGAATGGCCAGAGACACAAAATTCAAAGAATGCAGTAAGCATTTGCATGAAGTCCTTTATGTGCTGAGGACAAAATTATGTACATTTAACAATATCGGATTCATGTAACTAATAATGCATTTAAGCTAGGGGTGTCAAAAGAAACACATTTTTATGGGTCATCACACTGCACAAGAGGACAATTCTGTTTCAATTTAGCAACAATGGCATGCACTCACCATGTGTCTATGATAAACTTGAGTTCATGATATAACTTGCACAATGTTACTGAAGTGCAGATTCTTACACTCTTTTAGAAACAGAAAGTGAAGCACTAGATCCTTTCTGAGGCGCACCCAGCTCTGTGAGTTCAGCAACTCCTCTAGAAACTATACATGGATAGTGTTGTAACGGTATGAATTTTTTACGGTATGATAATCGTCTAAAACAATACCACGGTTTGACGGTTTCGCGGTATACGGTATGTTACAAATGTTACAAAATAATAGAACAGTGAAGAAAATTTGACTTTTTCCAAATAATATATTTTCAGTTACTATAAACAACACCACTTACAATGAACAAATAAAAAAATAAGAAAATAATAAATAATGTGTCAAAGTCCAAATAAAGTCCAAATAAACATGGTGCAAATCCTCAGTAAAAAAAATAGATATAAATATTTACTATACTATAAATAGTTACATAACGAAACTAGATTCAATATGGAACATCCTTAGGTTTTATGTGCCAGCATGGATATGGTTGTCTGTGGATATGGATTTGGATATGGTTGTCTGCAATGCAGACAAACAGCTGCACCTTCATTTGCGTCTTTTGAAAACCGCAAGAGCAGCAGTTCGTCTTTGCTGTGTCACTGTTTTGTCATGTTTCTGTGCTGCTGTGCATGCAAAAGTACTTAGTATGAGAATTATTTCATGCAAAACTTTTTTTTTGCGTTTTATTTAGCCGCGCATAAATGTATGCCTATCTCTCATTCCGTGTTGTTCAAAAAGCTCGTTGTTGGTCCACAAACAAAAGCGAAACCTATGCTTATTGGTTGTGATATAGCGAGTTTGAACCAATCTGGGCATGGAGGAGGGACAATGTATCAATGTATCATGTCTGGTTTGTACGGAGACACAGTGACGAGCGTTTCTTTGTCAATTCAGCGTTGTCAAATTTTGATGACGTAACCGCACTGATTCCGGAGCCTCTGAAAGTCCGCGAATGTTATGTGATACAGCACTGAGATTCTCAGAAAGCTGAGATTCTCTTCTTT